ATCTTCAAACCTTTTCCTCCGACCACGTTAGAAAATTCTGAAAAATTATGCGGCATTCATAGAGAAGCTGTCAACTACAATGATGTACTAGGTAGAGAGACAAAATTCCCTGCAAGGCAGCTCTCCAGTGGTCGCTAGATGGGAAAAGGAGGCATAAACATGGCACAGACAACTCTTGAATGGATGGTAGATGGGAAAAATAAACATGAACGTGGCATGGACAGCTCTCCTGATGGTGGATGGAAACAGGAGGTGTGGACAACCTAAGGAAACCTAGATCATCATATTCAGATCATCAAAATGTTGTGTAAAATTCCACTGTATTTATCTTCTCATCATAATAATTGCTTTAATACTTACAGTCATTAGGAGTAAGAAAGATGACAAATGGTACCCCTGTCACACTCCTTTTCTTAGTTACTTTGGTACCATAGGAAATTTAAATTAGTTATAAATTGACTTAACGTTACATTCTTTGGTAACCAAATTAATTCAAATTTATCCATTAATTCTCTCTCATCAAGAACTCAGCATTTCATGTCTTGTATGGGTTGCCTTTATAAGTTTAAAAATTACCCCCCCCCCCCCCCCACAGCATTTTAAAAAAAACCCAGTTCTGTGGGATCTTATAGTGGCCTATCAATTATGTGTAACTATGGGACACTATAAATATTGAGCAAAGGTAACAATAAAAGTTTTTAAACACTTATGTAGATGTTTCCTAGTATATACAGATTAGTTGAACAAGGCAGAAAAATATACAGAGATCAAGGACTGATGACCAGGCCTTGATAGCAGATACAGCCATGAAATTGCAACAACATCTAACATCCATGAATGAAGAATGTAAAACAAATAATATGAGAATCAACACTGAAAAGACAGAAGTAATGTCAATAGGAAAAAAGAAGACAGATCTAAACATAGCAATAGAATACAAAGGCATTAAACAGTTTAAATAATTGGGAACTACATTTACCGAAGATGGGAAATTGGATAAAGAAATTGACATAAGATGCAGTAAAGCAAACCAAGTATTGGGACAGCTAGCCCCCCTCTTACAGCATTAGACAATCCCAATCAGCACAGAGAGACATCTTATTCAAAGCATATTTATTCCAACTCTGTGCTACCAGTGCCAGACATGGTCACTCACAACAAACCATAAAAGAAAATTAGTAACCACGGAAATGAGATGTCTGCGAAGGGCTGTAGGAGTGACAATAAGAGATAAGATCAGGAATGAGATCATTAGAGGAAAAAGTCGGCACAGAACCAATGCTAAATTACATACAAAGACAGCAAGTGAAATGGTTTGCTCACTTAGAGAGAATGCCTTGTGACACCATACCATACAAAGCATACATGGAAAGAGAAGAAGGACGTAGAGCACGGGGTAGACCAAGAACAAGATGGAAGGATAACATCAGAGAAACTCTACAACAGCACGATGTGCCTATGGTCGAGGCAGCCAGAAGAGCTAGAAACAGAACCTTATATCTCCCTCGACACCCACAGCGGTAAAAGAGGAAGTGAGGAAGAAGAAGAAGAAGGACTGGAAAAAAAAACAGCAGTGTGTAGCATACAAGAGGAGTGCTAAGAACATGATTAAGAAGATCTGGCCTTCGTGGAAGAGACTGGGGCACCCTAAAGTCAAAAGTAAAGATAGAGAGGATAATATAAAGAGACAGATAAACGGCAGCCTCAGAGAATGTATAACTTGAAGGAGAAGAAGAGAGGCAAATGGGGGAGGGGAGATGTTGGAGATTAATTACAGCCAAACTTCACTGTAAAGGCAGTACATAAATGACTAATGTAATACCTTAGATTGCTAGGGTAGATTCGGGGGGAAGGGGTAGGGGCGGGAAAAGAATCATTGCTCCCCCCTCCCCCCATCCCAAGCATGTCATAAAATGCAAAAAAATCAGTGGGTTTTTTTTTACTTTAAAGTCTGAGTGCATCTCTCTGAGATGGGAGGAACCAACGGTCTGCATACAAATAAGCTATGTAAAATACATGTGTGCGCAAAACTCGGTGGGAGACTCAAGTTCAAATCCTTGGTAAGGCTGGAATTTTTTTCTGTCAGGGGCAAAAATAAAAATCCTCACTTGCACAGTCCGTGGCAACAGCACTAGCCATGCGGCCCTAAATCCTCAGGCCCAAAGATCCGCTTGCCTATACCGTAAAAGTGGTATAATAAAGGCAGTAATTGGCAGTTGGTAAAACTCAGTTTTGGAACAAGACTTAAGTCCTGATGTAGACGAACGACCAGAACATCCCGGAAGAGTTTACAGCTGACAAACACTAAGAAGACTGTGCTCACAATTAAAAGAAGAGGATTAGAATGGTATGGCACTTACTTCATCTCGTTCTCTGTAGTTTTCTGCTTGAAGAATCACAGTTCTGAAATTTTAAATAAACAACAACAATCAGGAATTTTTATTTGATCATCATCAAGTGCCTTGCCTCCCCACGTGGGTGCCAGGGTCTCATTCTGGGAGAAAGAAAAAAAAGAATAGACTCACTGCCTCTTAACAAGCATGTCGTAAAAGGCAATTAATTAGTCATGTTTTTTTTATTGTTTCAAAGTCAGAGTGCATCTGCCTGAGAGGCGAGGAAACAACAGTCTGCATACACCAAGCCAGATTTGTAAAATGGCTGTGTACACCACACTTAAGTTCTGGAACAAGACTAATGACCAGAAGTGAATGAACAAGAGCAGCTGATGAACATAGAGAAGAAGAAAAAGAACTGCCTTGCCAACTGCCATGGATGATACTGTTTCTCCAACAGCATGTATCATTTCATGTGTTGACACTCTATTTACCCTACCAGGCCTGAGACCCTGAACCTAATTGCCCCCATACCTGAGCTCCTGGGCATCAACACGAAAAAACCAACACGATATACACAAATATTAGTTACATGCAAACAAGTGGTTAGAATATGATGAAACTTGGACACATTGTAGAGAATAGGTTTACCTTTCATCTAGCACCAATATTCCGCCTTTGTGTGCCATTTTACCCAGCAAGATCGGCCTTGTTTAACAAAGTGAGCACCAGATGTTGCTGTTTGAGGGACATGCTCCCTTCTCTTACTATTGATCTAGTTTTAAATCTATAATTTTCATGATTCTCCTCATCACTCGAGCTCACACTATGTCACTTTAACTAGGAACGTATTCTTCATGAAATTCTGACTCCTCAGAGTCTGAATCAACCAAAGTATTGATCACCTGTTAGACTGTGAAAAGTCTTCTAGTTCATCAGTCGCTTGTTTCATTGTGAATTTTCAGAATTTTTTCACGTTAAACCACACAAAGTAAATCCAAATACACATGGGCAGCAATTCGCATTGACTAACCATGAGGTCTGACCACAATTTGCTAGTTATTTTTAGTTTGTGATGCATTGTTTTCAATTAGTACGCAATGAGGTACACAGGTTTAGCAGCAGATTAGGAAATTACTGTAGTAGTTTAGCTAAAAAAAATAATTTAAAAAAATCTGTCAAGAATCTTGTACTGATATCTTCCTCTTTCTCTTTTTCCATATCTTCAGTCATCACATGTTCCATATTTTATCCTCTTCTTCTTCGTGTTCACCGGCTGTAAACTCTGGTGGAAAGTTCTGTTGTTCATCCACCTCTGGACTTTAATCCTTCTCCAGAACCTGAGTGTTGTGTGCACAGTCATTTGACAGATCTGACTTTTTTGTATCCACACTGTGGGTTCCTTGCCTCTCAGGCAGAAGCACTCTGACTTCGAAAGGAAACCCCAAATTAGTTGACTCCTACAACATGCTTGTTGGAGAGACAGTGGGTCTATTCTTGTTCTCCCCACAATGGGGCGCCAAAACTACACAAGGATGTTTATGGTGTTATAACAAGGCTACAATGTTGCCTCTTTATAATAAGCTATTTTCAGGTCTTGTTTTCACGTCTCTTAAAGAAATCTAGATTAATCATTCTAGCAGACAAAGGAAGTTTAGGCCTTCTTCTGTAAAACCACATCTTTGCGGCCTCAATACAAATAAATCAGGAATCATAGCTCATCATCTGTCATGATCCACTTTCTGCTTGTAGGTGCATGCAATTCTTAGGTCATCTCCTTGTAAATCCTCATGGCCACCTTCTCGATGCAAACAATCATTACAATGATTCCCTTGTAACTAATTTATTAACCACAGTACTTACAATTGTCTCCTCAAAAATGCAGTCCTTTTACTCAAATGCAATCACTCTATTCTCTTTTATATCTCTCTCTCCAACTTTCTGTTGACTGACTGACCCTGGTTTTCATTCAACCTTCCCATGTTCACTTTTTGACCTGCCGTCACATCAAGGATCCTGTGATTCTCCTCTGTCATGATCAATTTGCACTGTTTATCTTGCTTTTTGTTTGTTGATGTCTGTGTCACTCAGGTGTTGTGAACCCGCTTTGTAATGTCAAAGTGCCGGATTTAATCCTAGCTACAGTGATCTGGCAGCAGACTGCCTTGTACTAGTTTTGACTGGTAATGAGAGCTACTCGTACAGAATGCAATGGTAAACTACAAAAAATGCTGGGGTTGTTTCTGTAATGTCCTGTGAAGGACACGACATGCAACTAACTATGGTCAGTGTATGTGGCTTAGGTGTTGTGAAGGCACTTCCTAATTCAGAGATGCCACAGTCAATCCCAGCTGTGGGCTGTTTGGTAGCAGTCTACCATGTATATTTGTTTCAAAAATGGTATAGAGAGAGCTGACCGTTTAGAAAGCAATGAAAACTTCAAACATCATAGCTATTCACTGTGAATTATATCCCTACAAAATTGACATTCAGCCCAGTGTTATAACTTACTTCTTTGTCTCAGGGCAGAACCGCCATGCATTTGTTTCAACAGTGGTATAGAGAGAGCTGACCGTTTAGAAAGCAATGAAAACTTCAAACATCATAGCTATTCACTGTGAATTATATCCCTACAAAATTGACATTCAGCCCAGTGTTATAACTTACTTCTTTGTCTGAGGGGAGACTACCTGGAATGTGTGTCTCCGGTCATCAGCTACACAAGACTCCACAACCACACCTTCTTCATTCAAATCCATCACCAAGCTACCAGCAAACTGTGGACAATCACATTCAGATATGAAGTGAACCTTTCAAAGAAAAATAAAACTGACATCCACAGAATGTGAAATAGGGCACAAAACAAAAAACACACATGTCTTCATATCCATCATGATGATCAAAACACCAAAAAGTATGGAGATTCTGAAACTGAAATTCTTTTGCTTGTTTGGGTACCTGTTTGGAGGAGACATTACTGAGCATGACTTAAGTATTTTCTACAGTCAGATACAATGACGTTGATGGTGTTGCTTATTTGTTGCCTCTTGTTTAACCCACTGACTACCAAGCCTGTTAACCCTTGCACTTAGAACATAATATAGAACACTAATTGGTTTTTTCAAAAGTTAAAAAAAAATTAAGAAAGACTGAAAATGACTAAAACAATTTTTCATTAACTGGTACCTGTGAAATTGAAAGAGTTAAATGATTTGATAGAATTATAAATGTAGAGCTTATGGAGATAACTAAACAATTTTCAGTGAAGCAAAAAGTGAAGAAAAGACGCAGACTCTTACAAACAGACACTCAGAAACCTGGTCACTGTAACTAAAGCACCAAAACCCACCCACATGGCATAACAGATAGATGAGACCTTAAAGTACATGAAATGAGAATTAAAAACTAGATGAATAAAAAAGGAAGGATATGCAGGAGATAGAAAAGAACAGTTTCGCTTGGTATGAGTTGGTCCAGGGTCTGCGCTGAAATCAAGTATAAAAGACAGAAGAAAAGGGGGTGGGGGGGGGGGGCTATAGTGGAAGCGAAGCGTGGGGTAGGTACTTAGAAATCACTAAGTTTACTTTCTTTAATGATTCCTCAATTTAAAGCTAATAATACAGCCATCATCTGAAATCACACTAGAGCATTGAACACTTTTGTCAAATTAGGATGAGCAAAACAAATATTACAATCGAGAAATGTAATAATAAGCTTAAAACTAAGATTACAATGGCGTATTAAACTGGTCACAATGGTGAATCCAACAAAAAAATTATCCATACTGCCTCTATGTACCACTATGTAAGGCAATGTAAGGATGGATGGGGTGGTCCATGAGCCTGAGGATTTAGAGCGGAATGACTAGTACAGTTGCTATGGACTGTGTAGGTTAGGACTTTAGTTTTGTCCCAAACAGAAAAAACAAAAATGTTACCAAGGATTAGAAGCTGGCCCTCTCAACTGATAGCCTGGTGTCTTAATCACTCAGCTAGCTGAGTCCAGTATAACAACAAGTTTACAGGACGTTGCAGAACCAACCCCAGCATTTTATAGCTGTTGTGGTTTTCCTAGTCAAATTTACGTCCAGTAGTGTGCCATTGCTGCTTTCTGGACGGTCAGCTTCTCGATACCACTGTCAAAACCAATGTGAGTTGCAAGGCATGTAGCTGGGATCAAACCCAGCACCACAGGATTACGAAACGCATTCGCAATACCTAAGCCACAGACCCTGAGTCCAGTATACAAGATCGTTAAAATAAAAACTGATATCTTCACCAGCTACAAACTCCAGCAGAAAGTTCTGTTTATTTGTCTACTTCTGGACTTTTGTTATGTTCCAGCTCTGGCATATTCATAAGCAGACTGTTGGTTCCTCACTGCTTAAACAGACGCACTTTGCCTTTGTTAGTCTACTTTCACAACAAGCTTATTGGGTGTGGGTCTATTCCTCCCCCCCCCCCCTGCCCAAATGGGCCCTAGAAAACCACATGAGGAAATCTTATATAATTCCAAAGCACAACTTGGAGTAGTTCACAAAGATTTCTTGATGTCTTCAAAATTTCATGGATTATTAAATTTCAGCTAGACAACCACTGCTCAAGTTTAAAAAAAAAAAAAAAAATATATATATATATATATATATATATAAACTTAAAAATTCTTTCTCAGGATAAATAAACTAGCACTTTCAAATGAAAGAGTTTTCTTTGCTTTATTATTAACACTACCAGACCGCTGGCACGATTTTCTGGGAATTTCCTAACCAGCCGCTATACTGCTGACCCCTTTTTCCGGGAATTTACGTAGTACGTGAAAAATTTGCGCCACAGACTAAAAATAACCAGCCAATCGCCATCAGACTTAATTGTTAGTCCTTGCGAATGACTTCCCACGTGTGTTTAGATTTCTTTGTGTAGTTTAATGTGAAAAAAATTTGAAAAATTATCAATGAAACGAGCGGCTTTGACAAGAAAGTGACGTAGGTCTAGGCTTTTCACAGTCCAACAGGTGATCGATACTTTGGTTAATTCAGACTGTGAATACGTTCATGAAGAATACGTTCCCAGTTGAAGTGACACGGTCAGTGAGAGCTAGAGTGAGGAGGAGAATTATGAAAATTATAGATTTAAAACTAGATCGATAGTAAGAGAAGGTGGCCTGTCCCTCAAACAGCAACATCTGGTGCTTACTTTGTGAAACAAGACTAATCCTGCTGGGTGGATTGGCACACAAAGGTGGAAGATCGGCGCTAGATGAAAGGTAAACCTATTTTCTACAATGTCTCCAAGTTTTATCTTATTCTAACCACTTGTTTGCATGTAACTAGTTTTTGTGTACATCATGATGGTTTTTTCATGTTAGCGCCCAGGAGCTCAGGTTATAGGGACTGTTAGGTTCAGGGCCTCAGGTCTTGTAGGGTTAAGCGAGCTTCTTTTTCTTCTTCAGCACTGAGAGCTGTCCACTGCTGCAGATATCAACTAACTCCATTCATCTTTGTGAATGGCCGTCTCTTTCCAATTGGGGATTCCAAGTCTTTGCAGGTCTGCCTGTATATTATCACTATAATTAACTATATTATCTATATTATCTCTGTCTGCTTCATGGTCTTCTCCCATTCAACACTTTTGTGGACACAGTTTCTGTCTTGCTCTTATTTTCCATTCTCTCTTTCTCTTTATATTAATCACTGTAGTTTAAATATGTAAACTTAGTAAAGAGAATCTGCAAGTCAACTGCTGAGTTTTCTAAAAATGTATCAAGGTGAATTGCTATTTCAAATTTACTTGCTACACTTAAACAGATACCACCATGAAAGTTAACCTTTAGTAAGGTGAATTATATGAAATATTCTTAGATATTAACAACAGACATCACAGGCTATTATTAGACAACAATTTCTATTTGCAGAAATGTGGCCCCTGTCACAGTCCCTCATTGTGGCCTGGAGAGAACAGTGATGGAGGGTACAGCTTTAGAAAAATGAGGCAGAGGCAGACCTCTACCATGTGGATACAGGACAATGAAGATGCAAGGACTATGGAAGCACATAGGACTAGAGAATTCGCTAATGAAACTGATTTTCAGATAGTTAATTAGTTAGTTAGTTGGGTTATTATCATTGCACTCTGGACATGTCCAAAGGTGCTCAGATCCTCCCCTCAGTATGAACCCGACTTCCGGTTTAGAAATGGCAGCGTGAGGACGTGTTTGCGGCGACACACGATTTTATTCTAAAATTTTCACTTAATCGGTGTTTTTCTCTTGATAACAGAGTGCGATTATTACTAATTCATTGACGATGGATATTTTCTTGTTCGTGGATACAAGCATTATGTGGTATAGGGGTGTTATAACGGAATTATTTCCACAAAATAGCCACGGCGGCAGCCGTGTCCTAATTCCGATAATGTAACCGCGTAGGAGCCACGCTCCCATTATAAACATGGGAGTCCACGGACCCCAGTCTACTCTAGCATAACAAGGTGCTGAAGTCAAAGGCAACCAGCCAGGAGGCGCACCACAGCAATCAGGATGCCACGCACAAACGCAACAGGGAATATTTCTATATCTGCTAATAAGTTTGATTTCCACCATGAGACCCACTCACGTACACGTGGTTCGATTTACCGGCCTACGACAAGAAGAAAGAGTCCAGCTTCAAATACTCGAAGCCTCCCCCTCATGCCCCGTAGAACCAGAAAAGCAGAAAATACAGCTAGCTTTAAAATAATGCACTGGGACGCGGAGGGAGTACATACCAAGAAATTAGAATTAGAAAACGTTTTGAACGAAGAGAAGATACATGTATGCTGCCTACAAGAGACGTATCTCAAACAAGATATGGCCTTTAAGATCAGAGGCTACCAGTGTTTCCGATCTGACCGCAAAGACAGGAGAAAAGGTGGAATTCTTACCCTGGTCAAAAATAACATCCTTGCGGGCCGGATTGAAACATACATGGAAGGTGCTGAGTATCAAACTCTTGAGCTCAAGTTAGAAAATACAGATTTACATCTGACCAACTATTACTGTCCGAGCGACGGCCCTCAGGCACTGGATACTGTACTAATAAATGAAAAAATGATCATTTGTGGGGATTTTAATAGCTATTCCCAAAGTTGGGGCTACGATCATATGGACCAGAGAGGAGAGAAACTAGAGGACTGGCAGGATGAGAATAGGTTCATCCTCGTAAATAAGCCAACCGACCCACCAACCTTCTACTCTAGAGCATGGCATACCACCTCGACACCAGACCTAGCCTTTCACTCAGCAGACATGGAACTGAATATTACCAGAACTGTTGGGAAGCAACTAGGAGGCAGTGACCACCGGCCAGTCTTTCTAACTATCGAAAGCTAGTCTGTAAGAGAGAGCAGCACACTGCCAAGGTGGAATTTTAAGAAGGCAGACTGAAAGTTATATCAGCTTCGCACAAATGTTCTGCTGGAAAATCTTAACACAGAAAATGACGTAGAAAAAGTAGTCCAAGAGTTGAGCAAACACATAATGCAGGCAGCCCTAGAAGCAGTTCCAAGAGGTGCGCGTAAACAATACAAACCGTACTGGAATTGCGATCTGGAGCAACTGCACAACAATATGGAAACAGAAAGAAAACAGGCTGAGACCAGACCTTGTCAAGAGCAGTTTAACAACTACCAACATTCAAAGGCCAAATTTCAAAGAGCCAAACTGCAGGCTAGACGGAGAAGCTGGCAGGAAAAGACAAAGTCCCTAAACTTTGAAAGAGACACAAGGAAGTTGTGGAGGTTAA